GCTTTATACTTGTCGGTGAAATAAGCTGTCGGTGGAGTAATTGTTGGTGAATCGTGCAGTCTGCAGAATGAGATTTCAGTAAATTAATTGTCGGTGAAACGTATTGTCGACAAAATGAATTTTTCGGTAAATTAAGCTTTTTGGTGAAGTAATTGTCAGTGAGTTGTAATGTCGACGAAATAAGCTTTTCGGCGAATTAAGTTTGTCGGTGAATTAATTGTCGGTGAGTTTAGTGTCGACAAAACAAACATGTCGGTAAAATGAGCATGTCGGGGATTTGATTGTTGGTGAATTAAATGTCTATGAATTAAACATGTCAGTGAGACGATTTCGGTGAAGTGGCATGTCTACGAAAGGAGTGTCGGTGAAGAGAGCTGAAGCGATTCATTAGTGTGTTGAATTCTATTTGGTGGTTGGGTTGGTTATTCTTGTCTCTAGAGAAGAATTTGAAGAATGCTATATCTCTATGTTTCAGTTTGCTTGCTATTGCCGCTAGTAGGTTAATACATGAGATGACTGTCATTAACTTATGTTTGATGAGCTTGAAGAATAGTGTTTTATCAGATATTGCTTTTAGAATATTATCATTGTCCCACTTTTTATAGTTGAATGCTTCTGTTTTACGTTTTTTAAGTAAATTAATTATTTGTTCAACTAGAACTGACTTTTGGTTGTCATATGTCTACTTAGTTGATTTTTTTACAATTTGACTATAGCTTGGTGCCCTGGACTTTTGCTGGTCAGTGAATTTTTGGTGGGTTATTTGATTTGCCTGCTGGTAGTGATGGTAACTGCAACTCAATAAAGCTTTCTGTTGTATCTATTGATTGATCTTCATTACTGTAGATACTCGATTGTGTGACTTGTACTTGCTGATCTGTTGTGATGTCCATTGTTTGCATAACATAATTGTCTATTGTTTTTGGAGTAGTTTTGGTATTATCATAGAGCACTTGCATTGGAGTTAAAGACAGTGTTGAGTGAATGTTATTTGCTTCTGATGGGGGTTGATTTGATGTTTGCTGGGCCAGTGATTGCTCTTTTGTTGGGTCTGTTGATTCACCTTTGGTTTGTTGGTTTGTTAATTGTTGAGTATTCATAGTGTTGTATTTGGCACGTTTGTTGGGGTTGCTGCTATTAGCAAGTTGGTGGTTGTCACCCCTTTTCAGTGTTGCTTCGGGTGTTAGTTCGACAAAGTCTAGATAGTTTCTTTTGTTATAGTTATAAGTAGTTGTTGGGTGAACCTTTGTCTTATACAGTTTAGTGTAGTTCCTTTAATTCAGTATAACGCTATTATATATTTTTGTTTACTTATTAGTTTTTAGAGGTACAGGAAAGAGTTAAATAAAAAAGTTTAGTAAGTATAGTAGTTGAAATTAACTCAGATTTTGGTTTTTATATATATATGATACAATAAAAAGATCCTAAGCTATTGGAATATTTGTGAAAATGAAGTTTCACTTATACATACAGATCAGAATATTTTTACTAAATACTCTGTGATCTTGATACATATAGTAATCGATTGATATAAAGATTACCTGGTATATAAGTTAAGTATAATTTATTCATAAATAATTTATTTTAATAGAATTCTCTATTAATATTACTTCATTGTTTCTTTCACTTATACACTAAATTATTGTATACATAGTGGGTTGTAGTGAATAACCTAGTTATACACATGCAGGTTCATATTCTGTACCAAAAGCACAGGATTTAAATATAAACTGTGTATATAACTAGTATTCTATACCTATTAAATAAATTACTCATTTATTATTTTGACATTTATATTTTATAATTAATAGAGTTCTTTACTAATTATTATTTAACTTTTGGACTAACTTAGGTTGCTTGCAAGTGTCATTCTCAATGTGATTAGCAAGTAATCATAATAGTGCTCAAGCATAATTATATTTACAAAAAAATTTTGTCAAAAATTTGAATATAAATTTATAACATAATTCTAATCTTCTCAAATATCAATTTCAATGTGATTAGTGAGTGATCGTACTAGTGCTCACTTATTATGATCAATCAAAATAACCATTGAAGTCAAATATTTGAGCAGTCTTTTATTGATTTCTATTTTTTATCAAATATTATTATCAAAAATTAAAAAAATAATGAAGCTGTTTGAGTGATCTCTTTGAATTCTCTATTGATTGTAAAATTTTCAAAGGCAGATATAAAAAAAGGTAGTCTGTTGTAAAATGAAAATTTCATTTAATGTCTTTTACTAATAATAAAAATGGTTATTATACATATCACTCTGGTTATACCGACACTCTTCAGCAATGAAAATTTTGTCGATATATCCAGATGTCAGTATAACAAGCATCTCTTTCTATATCGACATTATAATAGCATTATATAAATATGTCGGTTTAGAAGGCAATTTATTAAATTTAATTGCAATTATTAACTTTTTTTACCATTTCTCTAACTTAACGGCAAATTAGAATGTTCTTACAAAAAGAAAGATACTTTATAGTATATAGTAAGTTTTAGAGGATCGACTTCTGAATCTGTTCTTGCACGGCTAAGTCTAATAGTCCTACAAAAGACTAAAAACAGACTATAACTAAATAAAATTACATGACAGTGCATTTGTAGATTAAAGATTATAACTATCATGTAAAAAGTTAACTAGATATGATCACTAAATGCTATTTTTCAATTATCGTTATATTTAAATTGAATAAAACTTAAAATGTTTGATTGTAATTGAATACTATAAAATAAAAGCAAACACTATATTTAAAAATACTTTAGGTTGAAAAAAAAATTTGTACATAATGCGAAATAAAAAAAACTAAACAAAATCGAGTTTTGTTTAAAAAAAAAAAAAAATGCAAATATTTTTGCAAAAAAAAAAAAAATATCAACAATTATTTATTCTCTAATAAAAAATAAGTCTAATGTTGCTTGTTTAGAATTTTTTTTAACCCGATAGACTAGCTTTTTTCATATACGCTTGAGTTCAGCAAAAACTTTAATATCGATTTCAATACTTGGTTCAGATTGTTCAATATAGCCTAATACTGAATCCAATCCTGTAATAGCTTGAATTGCCGTAACAGGTTTAATTTGCTGTTCTGATTCTTCTTCAGACTTATTTTTTTGTATTTCTGCTATAATGTCTTCAATTGTAGGCATTTCACCTGTTGTATAATTATTGTCAATCTCAATAAATTCATGTAAAGAAATATTTAAGTCTTCAGAATTTTCAGAATTTTTTAAAATTTGAAACCGTGAAATAAGATTTTCTAACTCAATTTCTTCTTCATTGGTAAGATCAATAGTTTCTAAATTTGGATCTTCGTTAGTTTCCATAGAAGGAAGAATACCTGTTTTATGCCAAGAATGGATAATTGTATCTTTGGAAACTTTATTCCAAGCTTGTGCAACAAATTGAATCACATCATAAATTGTTACAGGATCTGGAGGTTGATTAGTAAGATTTGATTTATCAAAAGCAGCAATTCGATTTTGTAACAATAATTTGTGATAGTGACACTATAAGTATCTCATTTATAGATTTGTAGTATTAATTACTATATGTGTATTTAAAACCAATATAAAGAGTAAAATATATACATGCTAACCTTAAATGAGTAAATTATACTAGCATCGCATGGTTGTAACCATGCAGTAGTACGTTCTGGCAAAAAAACTACTTTAACATTACGTAAGTTTAAACCTTCAATAGAATGTGCTGAGCAATTATCTAAAAGTAAAAGAATCTTTCGATGAGTATAGCGCATATGTTGATCTAGATCAGATAACCAATTTTGAAAAATTGAAGTTTGCATCTATGCTTTTTTGTTCTAATAATATTGAACAGGCAATGATAATTTTTTTATTCCTCTTATTGCATGCGGATTCTCAAATTTATGAATAAAAAGTGGTAATAATTTATTACCAACTGCATTGCATGTTAACATTACAGTAACCTGATTTTTTGGTTTTTTAATTCCTGAAATACGGCCATGAGTAAATGATTTTGAAGGCTCTAAAAGCCAATAAAGTGCTGTTTATCACAATTATAGATATCTATTGGACCATAATTTGATGTTTCATTTTGTAAAGATAGATGAAATTCAGGTAATCTTTCAATTGGAGCACTAGCGGCTTCACCACAATGTGATGTATAAACTATATAATGTCGTTTTTTAAAACCTTGTAACCAACCATCAGATGCAGCAAAATTTTGAATATTTAAAGCTCTGCTATCTGTTTGGTCTTTTCTTGTAAAATTAATCCTGTAATTATTAAATGGTTTTCTAATGCAAGGTCAAACCACCTTGTAAGAATTTCTTCTAATTGTGGGTGATCAGGTAACCGATTTCATTTTTGTTGTGCTACAGTACTTTCTTCATCTAAACCAAGCCAATATGATGATTGTGCAAGAATATCAGCTACGGTTGATCAACCAATTACAAATTTATTTGCCAATTCTTGTTGAGTAAAGTTAGAATTATCTTTTGCAAATTGACATAATGTTTTTTTTTGTTTGCCATCTAATATATTTTGGGATTTTTTAGATACTACATTATCTTTTTCTTTAGATTTGCCTTTATGCTTAGTAGAAATAATTTCATTATTATTATCTGATATATTTTGCTAATGCTGATACGTTATTAAAAAAATTTGATATTTAAACTTTCAACTTATCATATTTATATTAATCAATAATTCTTTTTTCAAAACAATCAAGTTTTATATACAATCATATGCATTTACAGGTAAAATGTATTAAAAAATAATTCTAAAATTCAGCTCAAGTATTTAATCAAACAAATCTATAAATTAATTATTCAAAAGCATATTGAATCAATATATATAAATGACTTGTAAATTACTTATCAATATCCTATTATAGCAATTGATTAAGTATATTGTAACTAAGTAAATACAATATGAGGTAATTATCTCATGGTAATTGCATAAGTATGAAGTAATTATCTTGTAGTATATTAGTAATTAAGTATACATAATAGTTAATATACTTATAATAAAAAAAAAAGAATCTTTGTTGATGCTCTAAAAACTGCATAATTACAAAAAGGCAATACCTAGTTTATATTTATGTATAAAATAAAAGACAAACAAATTCAAGTTTTATTCAAGTTTTTAAATGCACTTATACAAATCAGTATAGACAATCCAGGAAAATTCGGAAATTCGAAGAATTACATCAATATCAATATTTAGATTTAAATAACATAGCATTACATAGTTTATATTATGTAGTACAGAGTAAAAAAATGCAATAATAATAGATTTTATTGATTATAAAACCCAACACATGCACAGAAAAGAAAACTAAAAAAGTGTAGATACAAAATTTAATTTTCAATTGCATGCCCACCTGCCTTGTATATAGCATTGACACATCTGGACATGCTATTGATAAGCTTGTAAAAAGTTTCTAATAAAATTGTAGCTTACTCTTACAGACCATTTCTTCCAATTCCAAAAGACTACTAGGAAGAGGATTTCATTTATCAAGTTTCTGGTCAATTATATCTCACACATTCTCTATAGGGTTGAGATCTAAACTCTTAGCAAGCCAGAGGAGTATTCTAATTTTTTTTTTGCCAAGAAATTTAGTTACAATTTTAGTAGTATGTATAGTAGCTCCATCATGTTGAAAAATTCTGCCTTTAGAAAATATATCTTTAAAAGATGGAATTCTATACTTTTTTAACAAATTAATATATTTTTGTAAATTAATTCATTCATTAATAGCCACAAGATGGCCATGGTCCTTCTACTCCAAAACATTTGATTATCACCTTTTGCAACAGGTTTAAGACAGGATAGATCTAATCTTTTACTAACTCTATACTATACATGATTTACTACCCCAGTTCAGAATTGCTTAAATGACTTTTCATTAGTAAAATAAACTTGTCTTCACATTTTAAGTGACCAATCTTTATGTTTTTTGTACTAGTTATATCTTTCAAGAATATGTTTATTAGTATGAAAAGGTATAGTATAAGCAATATAAGATTTAAACCCAATTTTATATAAAGCACAGATCATTATTTTTGGGTGCATCTTTTGCTCTTTTTCTTTTTTCCATGCTTCACAAAGTTCAGCTTTTGTAAAATGATGCCAACCATCAAGTATGAATTCTTTAAGATATTTTAAGCGTTTAGAGTCAAAATATGATGGACGTCTCACTTGTTTTTTCTCATAAACCTCCATACTAAAATGATAGTTAAGAATATTTTTAACAGTTTTATAGTTACATTTAATAACCTTTGCAATTTCACAATTTGAATAACCAAGATAATAGGCAGTAATAATGCCTCCATGTTGTTCAAATATTAATATTATAGAGTAATTAATATAAAATACTAGTATTAATAATAGTGAAATAAAAAATATAAGGTTATTTATATATTAATAATATAACAATGCAAGCCTTTAATCAAACTACTTAAAAATAATTTATAAATATTCCTTATATTATCTTAACAATTACTTGCATTATTTTAAATCTATATATAATGCTCTGAACTTGTCTTATACTATATTATAATTAAAAAAACAAGAAGTAAAATTTAATAAGAATTTAATGATTATAAAATATATACACTCTACTCTCATTATAATGTAGTAATCGAGTTTGCCAGGATGGCCCCTAAAAGTGCAGGTCAGATAATCTGAACTATTGCCACAGCCATGTTTAAATAATCAGCAGTATATTGTTTGTTGCATAAATCAGGTTAAGAAATTTTTACAATAATAAAGCTGCTAAACGATTCATCCATCTTTTAAGAAGTTATATAGAGGTTGTGGTATCTTGTCATCTGACCTGCACTTTTGGGTGCCACCCTGGCAAACTTGTAGTAATCAGGCTAAGAAATTATATTTGTTCTAATAATAATTTCAACTACTATACTTACTAAACTTTTTTATTTATATTAAAAGTCAAAATCTAAGTCTAAAATATTTACTATACTAATTAACTTAAAAAAATTTTTTTTTATATAAAATATATATTAAGAGCTGGAATTTGGGTCTAACTTAAATACTATACTAATTTAAAATTTATCAATTTGTATATAACATATATTAAAAGCCATGATTGTAAGTATAACTCAAATATTTTATAATTTAACATTAAATATTTTAATTATTAAATATTTATTAATTTATTTAAATGCATCTAATATAGAATTGCTAAAAAACATTTTTAATTAGAAGTCAAAGGTTAGTTATTCTAATAAAATTTTGATATATAAGCAGTTTTTTAAAAAAATTAATATATTTTTGTTTTTTATATATTTTACTAATTTTACAAATAATTAAAGAATATAACATATAATATAATATTTGTGGGGCACTGTAGATATATTTACAATAAAAAAATAATATAATTATTATACTCAAAATTATAGGATTTAAATTTTAAAATAAATAATTTTCGTTATCAAAGTTTAGACTAATATTACTAGTAACTATATTTTTTTTAAATAGAGGAATAAAAATTCTTTCCGTCTATCACTTGTACACAAATTTTCCCCAGCTTAATTATTTTAAAACATCTTATAACTTTATTTTCTACTAAGTTAATCT